TGCCTCCTCATGGTTCAGTTCTTACCTGGGTTAACTTAAAAAACTAGTTCCCTCAAAAAATAAAATATAATAAATATCGAAATAAACAAAAAATTATGTCATTTTACTCAGCTTGGTGTTGTTGATGTCAAACAGTGCTTAAACGGATTTGGCCAGAATGAACTGGGCAGATCTAAAAGAGAGATTTAAATAAGGTATTTAAATTGAATAGAAGACAACAACAACAGCAACGACATCTAATTTAGATCTAAATAAAGATCTTGAACTTAATAAAGAATTAACTTGTGTTTTCCTCCAGTTTGTTATAAGACTATTTTTGTGAATAGCTGTCAGTTTAGGAAATACATTTCAATTAAAGGCACAATATGTAAGATTTTTTTAGTAAAATATCCAAAAACCACTAGAACAGTGTTATATATTTTGCTGACTTGTGTACTTACATTATCCCAAATGTTTCTAAGAATGTTTAAATCCAGAGAAATAAGCAATTTTAACTAGTGGCACGGACCGTGTCAATGCCAATGACGTCATAACCCCTCGATTTCCGGTTTTGTTTTGTAGAAAACATGGAAACACCAAAGTTAATATTAACTACTTGTTTATTGAACTACTGTTGTATAAAATCAATGTCACATTTGCAATCGTGCTGGTGCTTGGTCGTGATGTTGCTTACCTATATCATATGTTATATAGAATATTTATCTTTTTTTTCTACCACAGTATGTTTGTTTCTTTGTGTGTGCTGTTGCACCTATTAGTTTTGATTTTTCCGTGAGTCAGATAACGTTACGCTGCACGACATGTCAATACATTATCCTTTATCAGTCACCGTTTACTCTGAAAGTAATAAAAGCAGAATCATTCTCACCAAAGTTTCGGTGCTGCCCTAGTTTTATGGTATTTATGTTTTTACTGTATTTCGTTTTCATTTTTTAGATTTTCAGTTTTCATTTTGATTTTATGTTAAGTTTTAGTTATTTCTAATTTTGTAATTTTAGTACTTCAACTTAAACTAAATAGAAATTAGAAATATTTCCTGAAAGTGTAACTGTTTGTTTAACTGATTTTATTTGAGTTAATGCAAGTTCTTAGTTTTTGTTTTAGTTAATCATAATAATAACAACTGCTCAGAGTGACTATAAAGTTATTAGTACATCACTTGCTGTTGTTTTTCTAAAGGTGGCAGGTATGTGGGAATCTCTGCTGGTTGGTGATAACACAGCGCTCAATGGGATTCGTCTTCACTGCATCAACCCGTCTAAAAGCTCATCGGGCCCGTACGAGGACTACGCCACAGTTCAGTCCGATGTAGGAAGGTGAAGAGCTTGAACTGGACGTAATACAGAGGCTCTGTTCCAAAACCTAGTGAGCTGCCTATATAGAGAGCATCCTATGACAGAGTTGCTGCCTATGTAGAGCGCTTCAAATCAGCCACTAATGAGGATCATTTCAATTAGATGCAGCCATGTGCCAGACAGCATATTCGAATTTGGAACAGAGCTGGCATCATCAAAGATTTTTGCTATCTCTTTTAAGCTGGATTTTTTTATTAGGCAGCGGCTATTTGCAATAAGTGTAAATAGCGATAGATACTATTTACACTAAGTGCAAATAGCAGTATTTTTAGCTATATGCTATTTACACTAAGTGCAAATAGCCATAGAATATATTTACACTATGGTAATATAGCACAATTTCCTTTATTTATAATACTTATTGCAAAATAGTGGCAATTATCTGCACCTCAGTATTGTAGTACATTAACCATATGCAATAGCAGTATTTTTAGCTATATGCTATTTACACTAAGTGCAAATAGCCATAGAATATATTTACACTATGGTAATATAGCACAATTTCCTTTATTTATAATACTTATTGCAAAATAGTGGCAATTATCTGCACCTCAGTATTGTAGTACATTATAAAACCATATGCAATAATAACATATTGAATGTAAATTAGAATTTTAATTCAAATTATTAAATGAATGCCACTTTATTGGGACAATAAAATCCTCCTCACACCTACCCTAACCCTACCCGATACTTTTTCAGCTTTCCGATTATTTCCATCCTTTTTATTGAAAATAATTGTCATTCCCATGTGAATCTCATATTGAAAAGATTTGAAATTTGATTTGAAAAGGGAGAGAAAAAAGTTCAGCGAAAGGCGGATTCGAACCCGGGTCGATTGCGTCAAAAAGCACACGGCTAACCATGTACATCACTGGAACTATTGTTAGATGACCGTCTTTTGTACTGTTGACTAGCCAATCACACGTTGGTGGGTGGAGTTAGTATAAATAGCCTCTGCCAACAAGGCGGGCTATTTGCACTTAGTGTAAATGGACACTCCATATTTATTAAACTAACAAATAACTGGTTATACCACTAACTTTTCTTATCACGTTCTTTCCTCAGCTGGGGTAAATGGTCAGATATCAAATGGTGCTCAAGTGGATTTCTGACATCTTTTCAGCTGAGAGTGGAACCCTACCAAGGGACCTGGGACGACACGGCCGCAAACAATATCAGGTGATGTACTTATTTAACTTGTGACAACCAGCTTTCCTAAAGCAACAGGATTCTGGAGCATGGATGTTGTTCTCACAGCATCCTATAACAAGCTGTATAAACACATCAGGGTCATCTGACACGGATATGAAGTGACCCGGTCAAGCGTCTAGAGTTACTTAACGCTTAGAGCTGGACAGTTGGACTCATAGGCTAGCTCTGGTTGTGATCATTGTATGGTCATTGTATTCCCAGGTTTAACTGCAGTGGAAATGCAGAAATGCTGCAGGGATCTGGGATGTCATGGGGCGAATGGGGCGACTGGAGTGAGAAGTGTGGAGGAAAGGGAATCTGTGGCATCGAGACGATGGTTGAGCAGCCGCAGGGAGTCGGAGACGACACGGCCCTCAATGATGTGCACATGTACTGCTGTGATTAAACTGATTGGTTGTTTCAGAAACACATCATTTGGTGGAATTGTTTAATGCATCATCAGTAAACCTACCTTCAAGTAGTGCTTAACTAGTTTTGGGCAGAATGAATTGGGCAGAGCTAAGAGTGAGAGATTTCTTCCCATTCACATTTAACAGACAATAACGAAAACAGCAACTACATATTGTAAGATCTGGAACATACTGAATTTACTTATGTATTCCTCAGGTTTGTTATAAGTTTTGTGACTAGTTGTCAATTTCTATAAAGTTACTACTTGTGATTCTTTGAATGGATATCATTAAAAAGGTGAATGATGACGTATTTATTTAGTGCCTCCTCATGGTTCAGTTCTTACCTGGGTTAACTTAAAAAACTAGTTCCCTCAAAAAATAAAATATAATAAATATCGAAATAAACAAAAAATTATGTCATTTTACTCAGCTTGGTGTTGTTGATGTCAAACAGTGCTTAAACGGATTTGGCCAGAATGAACTGGGCAGATCTAAAAGAGAGATTTAAATAAGGTATTTAAATTGAATAGAAGACAACAACAACAGCAACGACATCTAATTTAGATCTAAATAAAGATCTTGAACTTAATAAAGAATTAACTTGTGTTTTCCTCCAGTTTGTTATAAGACTATTTTTGTGAATAGCTGTCAGTTTAGGAAATACATTTCAATTAAAGGCACAATATGTAAGATTTTTTTAGTAAAATATCCAAAAACCACTAGAACAGTGTTATATATTTTGCTGACTTTTGTTCTTACATTATCCCAAATGTTTCTAAGAATGTTTAAATCCAGAGAAATAAGCAATTTTAACTAGTGGCACGGACCGTGTCAATGCCAATGACGTCATAACCCCTCGATTTCCGGTTTTGTTTTGTAGAAAACATGGAAACACCAAAGACGCTTTAATATGTTGTGTGCTTTAATAGATGACTGCACAGAGTAGCATTATAACAGAACTTTCAAATGTATCTAGTATGATAAAACAGCGCTGTTTTTTTCCCCCACATATGCACGAGCGGCGAAAATTACATATTGTGCCTTTAAGTTACTTCATGTGATTCTGTGAATGGATATCATTAAAAGATGAATCATTATTTATTGAGAGACTCTTTATGGGTCAGTTCTTAGGAGTTTTATGTTGTCTTCAACTTAGAAGGATAGTTCTCTCAAAAAAAATAAATAAAATAAAAATTCAGTCATTTTTTACTCACCTCGGTGTTCTGATCTAAAGCAGTAGGCTATGACCTTCCTTTTTACGAAAACGCAACGAGACATTTAAAGATGTCCTACTCGCGCTCAATCATATAATAGGCTATAAGAACTCTTCTCTTCAAGCTTTGAAGAAATGAGCAAACGCCTCATACCTACTCCTTTGCGACTCGTGCCGAAAGATATACAATAGGTTCTCTTAAGTAATTATGTCCGTTACGTTTGTCGGTTCTCATTGATTTAACGCGAGCCCTGATTTCAAACAATGGACGCGAATTTTCCTTTGCGCGCTGGCATTTATTTAAGCGCTTTATTGTTAAAGCGCTCAGAAAGCCAAGTCATAACTTCAGAACAACACCAAGTGAGGAATTATTGATTTTGTGTGTGTGTGTATATAGCCTACTATCCCTTTAAATTACCACAGATAATTAAACTTATCCCTCAGATTGTAAAACTGAACCATAAATGCACTAATGGAAAATGTTAACAAATTAACATGAGAATGATAGAATCATGACAAAATAAAAAGTATACCTGGTTTAACATCTACACACAAAGATGCCAGGAAAGGATGTGAGGTAACTATTCTGTGCTTATATGAATGTCGCCCATAACAGCTCAAATAACACACATTTATACTGAATAATTAAATTAAGTGGCTATTTTTGCTTTTAAAGATTTTTAAGACACTTGACTTAAGTGACTTTACCATTGTAATTGTATTACTGTGGACATATTTCAAATTCATTTATACAAAAATTGTTTTCCCCTGTTTTTATAAATTAACTTAGGACCTCAAAACCACACTTTAAATGACACACAGGACTTTGGTTGATCATATTTGATTTTATTGTTCAACAGGATGCAAAAAAAATGTTTATGAACATCATTCAAATAGTTTATTACTTGGCTAAGCTCTATTTTATGGTTCCAGAAGTAAGAAATAAACATCATCTTAGAAGGACAGAAACATTAATGTGAAGGTAATGCCCTTCCTCACTGAACATTTGTTCATCGTTCGTCACTAATGCACACAGAACCATAAATGCTTTGTGAAAAATATAATATGTCACCACTCTCAGGATCTATATGGTCTGTTTTATCATTCAGTGGAAATGCAGATTTGTTGTCTTTGAATCAGTAACATTGCTTTGATATTCTAATGGTCACCTGTCAGGAATGATTGCTTCATAAGACATCATGTGATTTAAACTATAGCAGACATTCTGCTTCAATCATCATCATTTCAGATCTGCTGTACTTGATTTGTGAGCTCAGGGTTTCTGAGCGAGCAGCGTGCTAAGTTTGATCTTGCCGTCCATAGACGCGGTGAGGCAGGTGCCGCAGTCCATCGCTGAGCACCAATCAACCGTCACGACGGGCGCTTTATGACCGCCGAGAGACAAGACGCTTTCCAGACCAGCGTCCGCCTTATTCAACTAGACAAGAGCAGAGCAGATATGAGGTTAGATCCATAACATTAAAACTACAACCCTGAATAAACATTCTGATACATGAACTAAAATAAACATTAACTGAAATAAAATTAAATATATATATTAAAAGAAAACATATTTTATTACAGCTATAGTTGCCAAAGCATCATTTCTTATTTTTGTTTAGTTTTAGTTTATTTAATACAAAAATTAATAAAAACAATATAGATATTTAAAATAATAATAATAATAGTAATGAGAAAAACAGACAACCAAATACTAAAACTGAAGAGTTAAAAAAATTATAGCTGCAATAAAATGAAATATAAATAACTAAAACTTATTTCAGCTAGTTGCAAAAGTAGCATTTCTCATTTCTGTCGAAGTACTAAAATAACTGAAACTAAAACTGAAATAAACTTGATAAAACTACATAGACATATTTAAAAGAAACTAATAAAATTACTAAAGCTAAAGAATTAAAATAAATGTTAACTAAACATTTTATTTCAGAAAGTTGTAAAGGCAGCATTTGTCATTTTTGATTAGATTAAGTTCAAGTACTAAAATAACTCAAACTTAAGCAAAAAAATTTATAAAAGCGAAAGAGACAAAATAATAACAAATGAGGTAAATAACCCAACAAAATTACTAAAACTTGAACTAACATTAAAATGAAAACACAAAAAAAACTACCTTACTATACTATAAAACTATATCAATGATACTAAAACAACCCTGGTTTATCCACCTTTTTCTTCCCGTAAAAATGGGCGTGGACATTTTTTAATTCTATGGGTCTGGCTTCCTGTCTCATCCGCTTCAAGCTATTTTTAGCTGTACAAAACAGTTTGTTTTGCTGCTTGATATTGAAAATTGGTGTGTCTTACCATATTTTTTGAATGTATTATCTTAATTATGAACACACTGGTTTATAATGCAAACAGTTTTACCGTTTATTGCACGTTGTTATTCTTCTCATTATTTCCCTATAGGGGCTAATGAACCGGAAGTCTTGCCCATAGGCTTACTTCCGCATTGAAGAAAAAGGTGGATAATGACAGAAACAAAATACTGGTGACAAAACCAAACTGATCTGACAGGTGTGAGTGGTTGGTAAATGTATTTTTACCCGGTAGATAACTCCTCCGCTGCTGGAGCAGGTGAGAACGTGTTGCCCCTCAGAGTCGAAAGCAAAGAGTCGACCGCGTGGAACCTGAACCTGTTTATAACCACTGTAACCCGACAGGACAAACGGCCCCACGGCATCCTGGGACAGCGAGTACTCCGACTGTTTCACGCCACAGCGGTGGATATTCCACTGAACAAACTGACAACAAACAAAACATGACGTTTAGTGATGAATCTACACTTAACTCTAGATATTCCAACAAAAATCCCAAAAATTCCCATCACCTTCCCATCCTCTCCGATGCTGAAGACGGTGTTCTCGTCGTAGCTGAACTCCACGCTGTACACTTCACCATCATGAGCCTTCCAGCTCAATGCACTCTCATAGCGCTGCATGTCTGCAGAGAAACGCACCAGAAACTAACACTTCAACATGCAGAATAAATGTGAGCCACATGGAGTTTAAAAGAGGACTAACATCCAGTAATATTATCAATTGAACTGCACTGACACCATCAGATGAGAACAAAAATTAAATAGATTTTAAACTGAATTGAGCCGAATAATGACACTTCTGTCAACTGCACTTGTTTCATAACTGATGAACTTTGAAACATTGACACTGTTATTGAACTGAATTGAATCAACATAGAACTGAACTGAAACAACATTTAACTAAATTGAGCTAAAAAATAACTCTTCTAAGCTGCTTAACAGCTGAAATTGATTGTTTCATAATTGATGAATTTTGCAACATTGATATAGTTATTGAACTGATCTGAATCAACACTGACCTGAACTGAGTTGTAAAATGACTCTATTGTCTTTTGTAGAGCTGCTTTATAGCTGAAATGGAATGAATTTCATAATAACGAATTTTGCAATGAATTTATTACTGAACTGAACTGAATCAGCATTGAACACTGAAATAAAGTGAGCTGAATAATGACTGTTTTTGAATTTGTTTTATACTTGATGCACTTTAGATCATCGACCCTGTTATTAAACTGAACTGAATCAACACTGAACTAAATTTAATCAATAATGAACTAAATTGAGCTAAATAATTACATTATTGTCATCCGTAAAGCTGCTTTACAGCTGAAATTGAATTTGCATCACAATTGATGAATTTTACAAGACTGATACGGTTACTGAACTCAACTGAATCAACAATGAACAGAACTGAAGCAAAATTGAACTGAACTGATCTGAATAGTGACTATTGTTTTCTGTAGAGCTGCTTTACAGCTGAAATTTAATTAATTTCAATTGATCAATTTTGCAACATTGTTACTGAACTGATTTGAATTAACACTGAGTTGAATTGAGTTAAATAATGACTGTTTTTGAATTTGTTTTACAATTGATAAAACTTTGGAACATCGACACTGTTATTGAACTGAACAGAATTTGGAACTTTGGAACATTGACAATTAACTGAATTGAGCTGAAATGAAAATAATGACACTATTGTCTTCTGTAGAGCAGAACAGCTGAAATTTGTTTCATAATTGATGTAATTTACAACAGTAATGCTGCTTTCCTGAAACAAACAGTTTTGTATAAAGCACTATAGAAATAAATATGACTAAATCTACATCTCAGTTCAACTCGGTCACCATGATAACCTTCTCACCGAACAGTCGTATCATCCCGTCTGCGGCTCCGGTCACCAGCAGGTTTCCGTTGTGGTTAAACGCCGTACAGTTTATAGCGACCGGCCCCGGCTCCAGCGCAAACTGCAGCTGAACGCAACAAGAAAATCATCATTAAAATGAGTTTTGTTTTATTATATTTATAAAGCACCATTAAAACAACACAAGGTTGACCAATGTGCTGTACAATAACAACAGCTAATACAAAATTAGACCAACATCTCTGAAAGGAAAAAGACTGATAAATAAATAAGCAAATAAAACAAACATCACAGGAGAAAACGAGAGCCACTTTGCTAGATCAATCTGTTGAGCCAAAACCTAATTCTAATCAATACAATCTCAAATTTCTTTTAAAAGAGCCCAATGTGGATGAAAGTCTAAGATTTGGGGCCACCATTGAAAATGCCTGGTCGCCACTCAATTTCAATCTTGTCCTAGGGACGTCTAAAATCTTCTGGTTTGATGAGCTTAGATTCCTTTGAGGTTTGTGTACATGTAGAAGATCAGTTAAATAAGAGGGTGCCAAATTGTGTAAAGCCTTATACACTCTTAAAAATATAGGTGCTTCACGATGCCACAGAAGAACCTTTTTGTCTAAATGGTTCCATAAAGAACCTTTAACATCTGAAGAACCTTTCTGTTTCACAAAAGGTTATTTGTGGTGAAAGAAGGTTATTCAGATTATAAAAAGGTAAGAAAGAGATGGTTCTTTAAAGAACCTTTGACTGAATGGTTCTTTGTGGAACCAAAAATGATTCTTCTATGGCATCGCTGTGAAGAACCTTTAAAGCACCTTTATTTTTAAGAGTGTATACTAAAATAAGTAAGTTAAAATCGACACTGTAATGAACTGGAAGCCAGTGTAAAGTAGCTAAAATAGGTGATAAATTCTGTTTTTTTCAGAACACCCATCAGTAATCTAGCAGCAGCATTCTGTACTAATTGTAAGCGATTTGCATACAATTTACAATTGCATACGAGTTGAATACTTGCACCTGCATACAACGAGTTTTCAGTCGTTGCATTTCTGTGTTGGTGTCGTTTGGCTCCAGTACCTGCTGTTTGACGGTTTTGGTGTCCCACAGCAGCAGCTGTCCGGATACGGGAGCCGAAACTCGTGCATCGCCCTCCATCACAACACCAGAATGAGCAGCTTGAGCCGCGGCGGCGCAAACGAACGACGTTCCGCTCGGACTGCAGGCCAGCGACAGAATCCTGAACACACACAGGAAGCTCAGTGGAATAGGAATCTACTGCATGTCTACTGCATACTGTCATCTACTTTTAAAAACAAAAATCCTGGTGTATTATGGGTAATCTGTGAGGGCTCACCGTGGATGGACGTCGTCTATTGACATCTCGTACAGGCTCTTCTTGGCCTCCGTGTCGTAAAGTTTTACCGTGCCGACGCCACTGCCGAGCAACAGCTATAGGAGGAAAATCACCACATAAACCAATAAAACCAAGCAAATACTACACTATTGAACTTACACTATTGTTCAAAATAATAATAATACTTTAATTCAGCAAGGATGCATTAAATTGCACAAGTGCCAGTAAAGACATTTATAATGTTACAAAAAGATTTCTATTTCAAATAAACACTGTTCTTTTGAACTTTCTATTCATCAAAGAATCCTGAAAAATAAAATGTATCATGGTTTCCACAAAAACAGTTTTCAACATTGATAATAATCAGAAATGTTTCTTGAGCAGTAAATCAGCATATTAGAATGATTTCTGAAGATCATGTGACACTGAAGACAGGAGTAATTATGCTGGAAATTACATTTAAAAATATATTCAAATCAGGGTTATTACAGTATAACTAAAAAAACACACACACATTTTCATTACTTGGAATAAAATAAAATATTAAAACTTACTAAGGCAACATTTGTCGTTTTTGTTTAGTTTAACCCGAAGAACTAAAAAAGCTAAAGCTAAATAAACTAAAATAAAAAATGTAAAAGCTATATAGATATATAAAAAAAATGACAAAATGACTAAACACTAACAAAAATTAAAATAAATGATTATTTTTTTTTAAATAAAATCTAATTCAAAATGTTAACAAAAACTTTAATAGTATATCAATGATACTAAAATAACACTGATTCAAATAAAAATCCATTATTTTAAATTGTACTAATATTTTACAATATTACTGCAGAAGAAACTTCTTTCAAAAACACCAACCCCAAACTTTTTGGTAGAGTGTGATTGTTTTTAATAGAAATATTTACAGCTTAAATATATTAAACATGCTTAACTGCACCCCTTAAAAATGCAATATGCATCATGGGGTTCATTTATTAGGCTAAATCTATTTATCAGTGTTTGTTCACGAAAAAGTGATTTACCAGTCTGTCGGGTTTGGCTGCCCATTCCAGAGACAGCAGCGGGGACTTGGACATGATAGTGGCTTTGGTTTGCATGATGGGATTGAAAGCCCAAACCTTCACCACCCCGTCCACATCCAGACTGGCCACTCTCCTGCCGGAGCAGTCCACCCTAAAAACACAAACATGAAACTAAAAACCAGAATGACTGACATAGCACAAAAACCGCTTCTGCTTCATGAACAGCTATATTCAATGTTAACTGTCTACACTCACCTGCAGTGCATGATGGATGAGTGATGCTCTCCGTACTCCTCCTGACTCAGCTTAATGAAGGGCTGCTCCACTGAAGCTCCGCCCACTTCACAGACTCGCGTCTGATTGGTGGAGTCTGTTTGATCAGGAAGAGCTTCGGTTTGAGCGTCTGGATCCGAATCGGTTTTCTTCTCCGAGCTCTGTGGAGATCAGAAACACAATAATGCACAGAAACGTTCCAGGCAGACATCACATGATGATTTCGGCACGTTTAATATCCAAACTGAGATAACAGCGGTGACCTCCCACTCCCATGATGCACTACAAATGGCACAAAGTTCTACATACACTCTCAAACCTCTTATATATTTGTATATATCTTAATATTTTGTAATAATCTACAAATATATTTTATTAGAAATACTTTACAATAAGTTCAAGTCCGTTTGTTGGCATTAGTTTACTAACAATGAAAAATACTTCTAAAGCATTTATTAAACAATGTTAAATTCAACATTTACTAATACATTATTAAGATCAAAAGTTCTATCTGTTAATATTATTTAATGGACTTAATGACTTTTTTTATATCTTAACAAATCAATTATTTGCTAAAAGATATAGTATATTTCAACCCAATGTAAAGCATGTTATTTTCCAGAAAATTAATCTGAACATCGGACAAAGCCAGGCTCAAAATTCTTGTTTGATTTTGTTGACATATTAGAGTTAAATATTTTTACAGAGGGGTTTTTTTGTATCTCTTTTTATCACTCCATAAATCAGAAAATACTGTCAACAGACATTAAAAAAACTAATTTTTGCCATGTTTTTAGGAATAAAAAAAGTCAAGTGAATGATATATGAACAAACCCCTCAGAAAAAACCTTCAGAATATAGACAGGAATAAAATTGTAAGTTTTGGTGTATGCAAGTTCTGCTGAAGTGGAGAAACAAACTCACAACCAGTAAAGATATGCATTTTCACCACGTTTTTAGGAATAAAATGCCATATAAATCAGTGTGAATGATATATGAACAAACCCCTCAGTAAAAACCTTCAGAATATAGAGAGGAATAAAACTGCAAAGTTTGGTGTATGTAAGTTCTGCTGAAGTGGAGAAACAAACTTACAACCAGTAAAGATATGCATTTTCACCACATTTTTAGGAATAAAATGCCATATAAATCAGTGTGAATGATATATGAACAAACCCCTCAGTAAAAACCTTCAGAATACAGAGAGGAATAAAACTGCAAAGTTTGGTGTATGTAAATGCTGCCGAAGTGGAGAAAAAACTTTTAAAGACATGGATTAGAATTGAAATTTTCATACTCAAATAGATAAAGTGCAATAAAGTAAACACTTAAATGTGTATTTTGGATGTTTTCTTTCCACTTGTCTGAAAGAAAACAACTTCTTTTTTTAAACCAGTTGTTATGAAAGCAAAATAGCCCAAAATCTCAAAATTGACCATTGCATGAAAAAACTGTGGTTTTTCCTCAAACCTGGATTTCTTTGTGGGATTAGTAGTTCATTCCCTCATAAAATATCATCTTGTATCTTTGTTATTTTCTGAGTTTCAAATAGGTTTTATTGTTTTAGATCAAAGTTACAATCATGATTCATCATAAGGCTGTTTAGTTTGGGTTATGGATCAGAACGTTTAAAGGAAAATGTACTTCCTGAACCAAAAACACTGAATGAGTGAGTGGCTACTGTTGTGCCAGTGTCATGTGAGGAGCAAAACGAAGAAAAGCAGTGAACGTGTTGGATGAGAGTGAGAGAGAGAGAAAGACAGAGGGGCCTTTGTTCGGCTCTGGTGGATATTTTCTTAGACCTGTTGTGGGAGCCTGGAGAGCAGCTGTTTTCTCTCTTTCTCGTGGTCATGCTGTCGTCTCTGTCGGGAATGACCTGTGGTCAAATCCACCGTCGCCGTTGAAACAGTGGGCATCTTCAAGTCTTTTGCGGAAGGCAGATCTTTTGCTTTCGCAGACTGAAAAAACAATCACAGACAGAAAAACCATCAGATTAGCAGAAAGACACAGAAAAACAGGGTCTAAACTCAACCGTTTGCTAGATCAGCAGTTTTCAAACTGGGATCCCGGAAGCCACAGTGGGCCACAACGAAGTGTCTGTGGAATAGTTACAAGAAAAAAAAAAGTAAAATAAAATTAAAAATTAAAAATGTAAAGCAAAGCTAAATAAATAACTACAAAAGATTACAATTTAAAAAATTAAATAAAAATTAGATTAAAATAAATAATAAAAAACAGCACAGAGCTAAGAGTAGAAAAAGCTTAATGCAACTTAATAAATAAATAAATAAATCGATTTAAAAAAATAAATGATACAGTTATCAATACAGTACAATACAACAATAAGTATTAACAATAATAATGAAAATAAAAAATATAAAACAAGATTAAAATAAATACACTTTAAAATTAGATTATAATAACTAAATATTACAGTACATCTAACAGTACAGTACTTTAATGAGTAGAAGAAAACAATAGCGAAACTTAAATATTTCCTAAATAATATTTTTATAATATTAGTTTTTCACAGTATAAATTAGTTCTATTTACATCTATTTACATGCCTTTTAAATTTTAGGAGGGGGGTCCTTCATCTAAACATGGATGAATAATTGTAAACACACTTAATATAACACTTATCAATTCATTGTTACACTATGCATTTTAAATTTGGTTATAATTATTTATGGCAAGATATAATGTATTACAACGCACATTATGAATAATTATAATGCATTATAGCCTTTAATAACCCTTTATAATTCATTATACATAAAGGCTTTAAGTTGCCAAGGCAACATTTCTCCTTTTCATTTAGTTTACCATGATGTACTAGAATAACTAAAACTAAAACTGAAATAAAATTAATACAAAACTTTTTAGACACATTTAAAAAATAATAAATACAAAAACAAAACAAAAAAAATTGTAAAATTAAAATGAAAACAGAAAATACAAAAACAACAATGATTCTAAAATACTGATACTGATGTACCTGCGTAACGGCGGGGTCCTTCCAGGGCGAGGATTGTGGCCCCGGGGCCGTTTTCCCAGGGGCCCGTCGGGTCTGAGGGAGGAAGGTGGAGAAGAAGTTTCTGGATATTTTTTATATTAATGAACGGAATTTATATAATTATTAATATTAATTATTTTAAAAATATTTAAAAAGTACTATTTTTAAGTATATGTTTACATATAAATGAATACATTCATGCATATATTAATAACTTTAAATTATTAATCACTATGAATTCATTATCAGCATAAATTATGTAGTACTACTAGTGCCTTGAGTGTAAGAAAGGCACACTACAAATAAAATGTATCATTGTTATTTCATTATTAAGTATATAATACTCAATTTTATATTCATTAATATATTAATGATATTATCAGCATAAATTATGTAGTACTACCTTAAATTAATATCTGTTTATGGTGTTATTATTTGTATTCTTATTATTTAATTTATTATTGCTTATATCATGCTATTGTTATTATTGCATTATATCATGTATGCATTTATATAATACTGAATATTATATTTATTAATATATTAATGGTATTTTTAACTATTCATCAGTATAAATTCAGTACAAATCATCAGTATAATTGTTTTATTATTTTATTATAATTTATCTATTTATTAACAGTACTTTATGATTAATAATTATTTTATTATTTAGCATTTAGTATTAACTATATTGTTTAGTATGACTTTTTTAAGAGTTATTATTTATATAATTATTATTTTATATTATATTATATTCCTTATTAATAATATTTTTAATTATTGATCAGTATAAATTCATTATCAGCATTGTAAGTGCCACATTGCACTCGTTTGCAAACTAAGCATTGAGCGGAACGATATATTTTGCCTTTCATTCTAGTGGACATTTTTACAATGGACTGAAACTAACAGGCGTAACTAACTAAACCAACTGAACTACTAAACAGTGAAGACCTCACCATCTGTCTGAGCTCCTCGTTCTCCTCCTGCACAGTTTTGATTCTCTGTACTTCACTGTCGAAGCTCAAGAGCACAGGCTGAGGTGAAGCTGTTAAGGAGCTCAATCAGTCTGACCTCATTATAATGAACGCACATCTACAATCAGTACATGAGAACACTGAGTGTCATTTCTAGGCATCAGTGTCACATTAATGCTATTTAAACAGCTGAGCATCCCATAATAGACAGTGTTTGGATATGCATGCACTGGAAGAGGACGCTCAGGAAGTTGTGCAGAGACACCAGGAAGGTGTCGGCCCACTGGCGGGAGAAATACGGAGAGAAGGAGGGATTCTGCTCCGGCGCCGGGATGAAGGGCAGAGCGAACCAATCACGCCACTCCGGCTGAGCCTGCAGCTCCAGCACCTGCTTCAGGAAAAACTCCTGCGTCTTCTCTGTATTCTTCATCTGAGACACAGCAGAGACACAAGACACCAGTCTCCCACTGATGAACTACACTGAGCAAAAGAGACTGAACAGACACTTTTATTTATTATTATTATTATTATTTCATTTTATTGCTATTTAACATTATCATTTAAAAATACATATTTTACTATTATTATTTCATAGTGCATACATATATTCATATATTACTATTATTTAATGCCATTATTTTTATCATCAATATTGATTATTATTTATGTTACCTATTATATTTTTATTTATTGATCAGTATAAATTCGTTATCCGCAACAATTTAGTACTACCTTCAAATAATTCAGCATTTTTTTATTACATCATTATTTTTATTGTTTATTTTTTTATTTATTGTTTATACAGGAAACATATTTACATACTAACGAATTATATTTTGAATTATGTAGAATTATTTATTATTATTTTATGTTCAATACATCTTTTTAAATATTATGTTTATTAATATATTATGTCATTTTTTTATTAGTATAAATTCATTATTAGCATAAATTAGATTTAGTACTAGGAAATAATAAAGCTTTTTATTAAGCTGTTATTTATTAATTTCTTTTTATATTAGATATGTTTATATTAATGAATAGCATTTATTATTATTATTGAATCTATTTGTTTGTATTAGATTATTTGGTGCATTATATTCATAAATATATTAATTTTAATTATAGATCACTAAAAAAACTCATTATCAGCATAAATTTAATTTACAATTACTCTGAAATAATATAACTATTATTTTATTATCATTATTGTCATTTAATTTTTTTATATTAGGTATATTTAGTACATTATATTCATTAATATATCAATGATATTTTTAGTTATAGATCTGTATAAATTCACTATCGGCATAGATTAAATGTAGAACTACATTGAAATAATATAGTGCTTTTTTGCATAACATTAACAAAATTACAAGCGAAATCTGTGTAACGTCATGAAAAAGGCACAACAATACTAATTTACCAAAATAGGCTTAATTTTTTTTTATGCAAAATACATTTTCTTTTTCTTTTGATTTGTGTGTGAAACATGAGCTGGAGTGTTCTGGAGAACCTGAACGGTGTGAATGAGGTAGAAGCGGTACAGACTGGTCCTCAGTTTGTTGACGGTGGGTCTGTAGACGTCCTCCAGTCTGGAGAAGAGCCTGCGGTCCAGATACGCCCAGTACTCCTTCAGACCCGTCAGATCATAACTCTGAATCAGCTGCTGGAGCTGATCGATGATCTTATCAACCTGTGATAAAACACCAATCAACAATCCGCAAATCAGCACAACACAACATTTACACAGCATCACATCAGTGTCTCAGCAATGGATGCTCTGCAGTGAATGGGTGCCGTCAGAATGAGAGTCCAAACAGCTGATAAAAACATCACAGTAATCCACAAGTAATCCACAGCACTCCAGTCCATCAGTTAACATCTGGAGAAAACAAAAGCTGAAACAAATCCAGCATTAAGATGTTTTTAACTAAAATACATAGAGTCCGTAATCCATAATAACTCTTCCTCCAGTGAAAAAGTGCATCTCTTGTTGTCTCTCACATCAAAATCCAGCCACATATATGTTTAGAGCTGTTTAAACGCTGCTTGATCTGTGCAGATTTCTCTCCTGATTCAGACCAGAACACTTTTTCACTGGAGGAAGCGTTATTATGGATTATGGACTCAATGTATTTTAGTTAAAAACGTCTTAATGCTGGATTTGTTTCAGCTTTTGTTTTCTCCAGATGTTAACTGATGGACTGGAGTGCTGTGGATTACTTGTGGATTACTGTGATGTTTTTATCAGCTGTTTGGACTCTCATTCTGACGGCACCCATTCACTGCAGAGCATCCATTGCTGAGACACTGATGCAGTGCTACATTTCTCCAAATCTGATGAAGAAACAAACTCATCCTAAACTTGGATGACCTGAAGGCGAGTGCATTTTCAATTTTTGGGAGAACTATTCCTTTAACAGGTCAATAATGTACATTTGACTTGTGCATGTTCATGCATACTCATATTTGAATGCACTAATCTACTAAACCTTATATACTGTTTATTATGTCCTGCTGTTATTCAGTCCTACACACAAGGCTTCTGCAGATCAGATCAGGTGAATGCATGAATCTGCACACATAGACTCACTCTGAAGCCTTTCTCTTTGTCTGCTTTGATCTCTGAGTCCAGGTGCTTCAGTGTGCTGGTGAAACCGCGGTATATCAGATACTCTCGCACCAGATCATCCGTCCTCTCCACTGCTGAGGCCATTCTCACATAGTATCCTAATGCACACACACGGAAATAATGCACACACATGTAAACAATGCACACACACGGAAATAATGCACATAATGCACACACACGGAAATAATGCACA